CAAAAATAATGACGTAATAAATGTAGTTTTATGACGTTAAAAATACGTCAAAAAACGACATTATTACGTCATTATTTTTGCACCAACCTAATAGATAGATAGATAGATAGATAGATAGATAGATAGATAGATAGATAGATAGATAGATAAAGAAATTGATGACAACAGAATAAAAGAATTTAAAAAGAATGAAGATAAAAAGAAATTAAAAAAGAAAACGATGTTTGAAAGAAAGAGACACTGATGACAATAGTAAACCAAAAAGGCAAGAAAGGAAGAAGTTTAAATCAATAAAAATTGAGGAATTAGAAAGGTAGAAAAGAGAGAAAGACAGTGAAGACATAGAAAGAAACAACGAAAGAAAGAAAGAAAGAAAGAAAGAAAGAAAGAAAGAAAGAAAGAAAGAGAAATGGAGAACAACTGAGAAATTAGAAAGACAGAAAAGCAAGAGAAATTGAATATAATCGAAATTAAAAAGAAAGAAAGAAAGAAAGAAATGTCATTGAGTACTTACATTATTTACATTATTCGGACGGTCCGAATAATGTAAATAATGTAAGTAATCATAATACCTCATCTCAGCGATACAGACAGATATTAAAGTCATTCAGATAAGAGAAAACAATAGAATTAATCCAGTTTCTTTCTCTCTATCCAATTTCATCATTATACTAAACATTTGTGGCTTTCATACATCAAAAAAGGAACACGTTACAACTCAAGCCATATCACGATAAACTGTCCTTTAAGTATTTGGCAAAGTAATCATTTACCCTTAATTGAATGAACCATCGCAAAAATGAAGATAAATATTACTGTCGATCTTAAAAATAAAGTTTGTCAAGCCATTTGCCGAATTTTTCTTGATGTGCCCAAAAGTGTTTAACAGACTTTTCTACTATGTTCTATGTTATAACACATGTTGAATAATTGATACATAAATATATAAAAATTTTAAAAAATACACTTTACTCACCAAAGCTCGGTGAACTCTGGAGTGTCATGTCCCGAATTACTCTTGTGCCAAAACATGACCACATGAGTAAGAATTGTCTGGCCACTGTCCGCAGGTTTCCAGATTGTTTCGAACTTGGCTGTTAACAAAATAATAGAAGTTAATGTTTTAAATTATCTTTTTTTTTTTTCATTTTTTTATGCTTGGATTTTTTCCCATCGTTATTCAGATGTCGCTTTAATTGCTTAAAACGATTTGTATGAGTTATACACTCATACAAATCGTTTTAAGCAATTAAAGCGACATCTGAATAACGATGGGAAAAAATCCAAGCATAAAAAAATGAAAAAAAAAAAAGATAATTTAAAATAAATAAATAAAATAAATATATAAAATAAATAAATAAAATAAATATATAAAATAATATGGAAAATATTTACTTTGACATGTTCCGCTGATATCTCGCGTCATTAGAAAAACGTGATTCACGTTAAGTGTCCGAACGCTTGATTTTTGTTTTAACTTGATTAGATTTTAACGAATTTAACCCATTTTTTTTCACGGTTTAAATATCCCACGCTGTTTTAATACAGATTTAGTAAAAAAAGACAACCAATCGTAGGAGACATAGATTTTGATAATTTCAATACACCTTCGACTGAAAAATGTTCTTTTTTTCTATTATTAAAATAGCGTTTTACAGATCAAAATTATGACGACAGACATCTCAGTGGCAATCATTGATTCAAGGGTTGGTTCGTTTTCTACGGCTTATCAACCCTTTTGCATGTTGTTTAAAGCCAGAAAATATTTTTAGACTATAAGATTTTTTTTGGAGATAATACTGATTTTAATGATACAAGTCTCACTCATTAACCCATAGCTAAGGGGAAGAGAGGTGGATTCTTATCTTTCCGAAGAGTATTTGCATGTAAGTGAAAATAACGGAACTAACTGGAATTGGAACTCGGCTCTCCTAGTAACAATTCGAGACATTATCCACTACACCACTCGAACATCAAAGCTTACAGCCTGATATTCCTAAGCAGTCACCCATCTAGGTAGTGACCAGATTCGACGTTGCTTTACTTCGGTGATTGTACTGGAATCGGTTTTTCAACGTGATGTCGCCGTACACCTTTTGTTTTTAATATACAGCGTACGATGGACAGGCACCCCGAGGCGGTGTTAATGGTTAGCAAGCTTGTCTCGCTAGCACAATTTCAAATGAGTAGTGAGTTCGATCCTCACTGGCTGCCCCATACTTTCGGCCTTGCGCCACATCTGAGCTACGCTTGGAAAATCTCGGGTACCTCGAGGTGGTGTAATGGTTAGCAAGCTTGTTTCACTAGAAATATTACGACTGAGTAGTGAGTTCGATCCTCACTGGGTAACTCGTACTTTCAGCCTTGTGCCACATCTGAGCTACGCTTGGAAAATCACTACAGCGTACGATGGATAAATTGTCGCCAATTATATATTTAATAATATTTAATAATTTATGTTTCTTTTTGATTTTGTTGACTGCACAGTATAATAGGGTCAGTTGGGCACCATTCTGTGAGAAAAAGAGCACCATGGCGCATTTCACTCCTCCAGAGTATTTGGAGTAATCACAGGTGATGGCGACGTTGTGCCTCAATTCACCTTCCGACAGGCCTTCAGACTAAACACTGAGGCTCACATCAAGAGCCTTGAGGGCGTAGTGCTTCCCTGGGTCAATAAGGTGGCTGCTGGAAGACCCTGTATCTGGCATCAGGACTCTGCACCATGCCACACATGCAGGAGAACACACACTTTCTGCGACCACATCGCCCCCTACATCTGGCAAACTATCTCTCCAGGCTGCACCCCACACCTTGATTATTGTGTTTGGGGCGCAGTTAAACGAAAGGTCAACACAAATTCATGTAACATCAAAAATGAACTGAAGACAAGGATTATGGAAGCATTCACCAACTTAAACGAGGGGACTGTCCAGAAGAGTTGCAGGAGATCCCGAAGTTGAAGTCAATGGGGATTTTATTTGATAAATTTACTCTTTAGTATTTCAATATATTTTTGTGTTATTTTTGTAAATATATCTACATTATTTACATTATTCAGACTATTGTCCTCATCTTTGTCGCCATATTTATTACAACGTTTCGGCCATTGTACGCTCCGGCCTTCTTCAGGTGGTTGGAATGTCGATATGAACACTATTTCGCTCACTGGTGTTAGACTGTTCTAGTTTCATGTGCCATGTTTTAATGGATGTCAGTTATCAGTTATCTCCTGTTAATTTTCCCTCTGAAAGTTCTCCGCTGCCTTAGCTGGGTATTGAACTCAGACACTTTGGGTTCTGTCACTGGATCTAATCAACGCCTTTATCCACTGTGCCATGTGTCCTTGAGGAACTAGAACAGTCTACTCCAGTGAGCGAAATAAAGGGTTCAGTTCGACATTCCAAATAACTGAAGAAGGCCGGAGCGTACAATGGCTGAAACGTTGTGATAAATATGGCGACAAAGATGAGGACAATAGTACGAATAATGTAAATAATGTACATCATACCTCATCTCAGAAATATAGACAGGTAAATATATCTGTTAAAATGAGATATCAGTGTTATTTTAATTTTTGCATCATTTAGAAAATTTATCCATCGTACCCTGTATATAGTATTGTTCATATGCACACATATAGACAACTACGCATGCATATACAGAAATATTTCATAACCAAGCCAGCTTTGGCCCAGTGCTGTTCGTTGAACATATCCTTGCCTCAAAATTGGCGTACTTCAGCAAACATTTACAATAGCACACTTTTCGCGATTTCAGTCAGCTGCGATCAACCCGAGAAATAACCAACTCATAACTTTTACTTCGTAGCATCTCAAAAGCGCCTGTCGAGTGATACTAGCAATTCTGATATGACAAAGAAGAGCCTTAAATTGCTCCGTTTAAATGAGGTTGTCAAAGTTTTTCATATACTGAGATTGACAGCACACGATAAAAATGAATCTATTATCCGTAATATAACTTTTTTTTTGTTTTAACAGTGAAAGTTTACCCATCCCGATAGACTGAAAGTATTTCAAATAATTTTATTCTATCTATTATTGTTTAACACAGCTCTTTCACTGTGTCGTTTTTTGTTTTTTTTCACTTACGGTTTTCGGAAACATATAAAAGACACTGTCACCTGGCGTCACAAATGAAAAAGAGGTTGTTCTATCACAGAAAAAAGTTAAGAATGAAAACAATGGACATAAGCTAATTTAATTTAAAAACTAATCTAATTTAATCTAATCTAATTTAAAAGCTAGATAGAGAGATAAATAGATAGATATCAGTTCCAGTCTGTCCCAATCAATTGACTTCTATCTATCTATCTATCTATCTATCTATCTATCTATAGATAGATAGATAGATAGATAGATATTGTTATAATTGTTCTATTTCATGGTAACTTCTTTTTATTAATCTCTTATTGTTTCTAAGTTAAAAAAAATATCATAATTATGTATGTATGGAACTCCCACTAGACAGACACACATACACAATTATGAATTCCCTTTACCATACGATGCCCACTTAGACATACAAGAATCTTCATAAACCTACATACACATAGTTATCTACGGTTTTAAGACGCGTGACACGTGTCTGACTAATGAGAACTGACCCAAACATAACTGAAAATACCAGTGTTTGTGTCTTTTTGTTTGTTTTCTTTCAATGTCTGACAAAGTTTTAATAAAAGTGAGACATTTTAGAATAACATACGTTTCTTCTTTGTTCTTTTATTTTATTATTATATATGTATAAAATAAATAAATAAAAATAACATCAGATGATGCATTCCGAAATTTCAAGCATTCATTGAAAAGTTTTGGAACATATCAGGGAACGGGACAAATGTATAAAACCGAAAATATTTGTATCTGTTTTTATTTCTTTCTCTTCAAATTCGTAAGATAGGATAAAGCTTCGTCATCTGACTTACCTTGACCACGCACCTATCCACCATTGTGTCCAACCACTCCAGAAAACACTCTATGGGTGCCTGCTCCTCCAACAGACGTTCAAATTCCCGGCACCCTGAAAGGATACCAGTTTACGGAAAAAAACGTAAATATCTCCAGTTCCACTCCGTGCAACAAAAATAGCAAATACATGACAGGATTTTCAAATATCAGATCAGCTAAAATCTCTTTTGAGCCATCACGTAAGAACAGTTTTTATCCCTCACTTTCCTAAATAATATGAGTTGTATAGGATTATAATTATGCCATGTTGAAAGTTTCGTTCGCTAATGGCTGAAAACACCTCATATAATAAAAATGATAGAAAAATAGAAAACCGTATTGACAGAAGCGATCGGAAAATATTTTATATTTTTGAAGCCATTTGAAAAAACTCAGTCATCTTCCAGCAAAGTTTCAATTTATTCATTCATTTATTTCTTTTTCTTTCTTTCGTTCTTTCGTTGGTTAATTCTTTTTTTCTTTCGTTCGTTCCTTCTTTCTATCGTTTTTTCTTTCTTCCGTTCTTTTTTCTTTCCTTCTTTCTTACTTTTGTTCTTTCCTTCTTACTTTTGTTCTTTCTTTCTATCATTCATTCTTTCTTTCTTTCGTTCTTTATCTTTCTCGTTCTTTCTTTCATTCTTTCTTTCTTTCGTTACTTCTTTCTTTTTTTGTATTTATGCGTTCTTTCTTTCTTTCTTTCTTTCGTTGGTCTGTTCTTTTATTTCTTTCTTTCTTTCATTTGTTCGTGCCTTCCTTCTCTCTTTCCTTCTTCCCTTGGTTCGTTTTTTTGTTTGTTCTTTTTCTTTCTTTCTTTCTTTTTCTTTGTTTCGTTCTTTCTTTCTTTATATTGACATGTTTAAGCCAAGAACAGAAAAATAAAGATATCGCAGAATCTATAAAGTATTTCTTGAAATTTGAACACTACTTAAGTAGAATGGTCCACAATGGGAAAATTATTTTGTCAGGTAATTTTCGTAGATTCACATTCCTCAGACCTTCTTTAAGCGACGACATTTGTCAGAATCGAAAAATATTGATTTTTTGTCGAATTACAAGAGAGGTCCTTTTCACAATTTTGATACAGTTTAAAATCGATCTTTGATATTTTATTAGACTTGTTATTTGCAAATGCCAAGTTTGCAACTATGCCTCCATCATTGATATCTGCACGTTTTGGTTATAATTTTCTGAATTTTTAAAACATTTTTTTAAAAGACATTTTTGGGAGTTGGATTATTTTTCAGAAGTAAGATTGTAATAATTATCTTTAATGATGGATAAACGGATATATACTTTTATTAATTTATTTAGATTCTTTAATTAAAAATGTATATATCCATTTCCTTATTGAAAAGAAATCTTTTGTAAAAGAAAAAAAGGCTGTTTTCATATGTAAAACAACTAAGTCCAGATAACTCTGGAAAAAGACAAATCGATTTTAAACCGTATCAATATTATAAACCGGACTCGTCTTCTAAATCGATAAAAATCGATACATTTCTAATCTGATTTGAGGAAGGTCTAATCAACACCAATCTGGAAAAATTATTTCCAAAATATTTTTCCTTATTTTTTACGAGTGGACCAGTCTACTTAAGTAACTCCGGAAAGTAGATATTCAAATCTCGTGCTATAACAGCAGTTCTGAAGATAAAATGAAAACAAGGCGCTAATTTCAAAAAAGGGGGGGGTGTTAATTAATTACTCTTTTGGTGCGGAACTACTTCTTTTAAAAAATAAAATACATTTTTTTTTTACAATATTTACATTGTTCGGATTATTATCCTCATCTTTATTGCCATGATCACGACATTTCAGCCGTTGTACGTTCCGGCCTTCTTCAGGTGATTCAATACATAGACACGGGAGTAGTGAACAAAAACTGGGAGAGCTGAGCTAAAGGGAGGTAACTGAGACAACCGGAAGAGGCATGGCATGTGGAACTAGAACAATCTACACCGGTAGACGAAATAAAGGGTTCAGTTCGAAATCCCAATGATCTGACGAAGACCGGAGCGTACAACGGCCGAAACATCGCAAACATGGTAATAAAGATGAGGAAAACAGTCCGAACATGTAAATAATGACAATGTCTTATCTAAGAAATAGAGACAAATATAAAAGAAAGAGTTAAATCCTATTGATGATAAAAGCAAAGTGATTATCTCAGAGAATTAAAAACATAGATTAGATACTTACAATTAGCAATCGTCTGGTGGTCTTTCTCGCTGTAATGGTCCATTGTGTAGAGAGTCTGTTTAACAATCGAACTAAGATCAATATTCATCCAGTCGTCCACCATTTGTCCTGTGATGTCTGGATTTTGAGTGACGGTTCGAGCGGCTTGGCACAAATGGTTCAAAGAGGTCTGTCGCCGGAGCACCTGGCAAAACCTCCGAGCAACTGAGTTCAACGAAAGCGGAAAGTAAAAAGAAAGAAGAAACACCGATCAAGATAACGTAATGGGAAATATATATTCATAGGTTTAATCGGAGTTATATTTTATGGGTTTAATGGGAGATATATTTTTATAGGTTTAATAGAAGATATATTTTTATGGGTTTAATGGGAGATATATTTTAATATATATTTTTTAGATTTAATGGGATATTATTTTATAGGTTTAATGGGATATATTTTAATTTTAATTGGGTTTATTTTTATAGATTTAATGGGATATATATTTTTATAGGTTTAATGGGAGATATGGGGTACGTTTAATTGGGGTATATTTTTATAGATTTAATGGTATATATATTTTTATAGGTTTAATGGGAGATATATTTTAATACGTTTAATTGAGGGTATATTTTATAGTTTTAATGGGATATATATTTTTATAGGTTTAATGGGAGATATATTTTAATACGTTTAATTAGGGGTATATTTTTTATAGATTTAATGGGAGATATATTTTTATAGGTTTTACCAGAGTTACGCTAAAATTACCATAGTAAGAATGATCTGAACTAGCTAGAACTCGTAAAATTAAAAACTAAGATTATGCATTATCTCATACTTTTTCTCTCCTCTTAGCCTTCGACTGTATCTTCTCATTCCATTCCTTATCCTTCTAATGCAAACTAGATTATCCTTTATATCATATCTCTGCTCTTCTCTCTCCCTTTGCCTGTATCTTCTCATTCTATCCCTTATTCTTTCTAATACGGCTAAAATTAACCAGTATATAATACTTCTGCTATTCTATTACTCTTTGATATCTTCTCATTCTATCTGCAACCCGAACCAAGTAAATACTTATAGACTCAAATATAAACAAACAATATTTACTTAAACCCAAACCAAGTAAATGCTTATAGACTCAAATATAAACAAACAATATTTACTTAAACCCAAACTAAATAAATGCTTATAGACTCAAATATAAACAAACAATATTTACTTAAACCCAAACTAAGTAAATACTTATAGACTCAAATATAAACAAACAATATTTACTTAAACCCAAACCAAGTAAATGCTTATAGACTCAAATATAAACAAACAATATTTACTTAAACCCAAACCAAGTAAATGCTTATTGACTAAAATATAATTGATCTATATTTAGCTATTCCGAACCAATTAGATGTTATTGACTCAAATATAATCGACCAATATTTATCTGCGTACCAAATAAATGCTTATAGACTCAAATATAGTCGACTAATATTTACCTAACCCCGAACCAACTAAATTCTTATTGGCTCAAAAATAGACGACCTGTATACTTGCTAATATCAGTTCAGTACATCTAATGAATTCTGATAATTTTAATCAAATCAAAGACAGATATATATACATACATACATAGATACATACATACATACATACATAAATGAAAATGGTTACATAGATAGATAGATAGTTAGATAAAGAGAGAGAGAGAGAGAGAGAAATGGACATACTTAGATAGATAGATAGATAGATAGATAGATAGATCGATAGATAGATAGATAGATAGATCTCCCTCCCACCGGTCGACGTATGAAAACATAACAGTTCAGTTTTTTTGTAACCCTTATAGAAACCATCATCTGACCAGTCATTTAGACACAGGGAAGCGCCTGGTTAACAAAGTCCGAATTACTGTTTATAGTAGCACGTCAGGTCAAATAACAGTTTCCATAAGGCTTACAGTTTCAATTCCTGTCGGAGAGCGCATATTTTCTACAAAATTCCTCGAACATTCAACCCGATAAATGTATTTTATACGGTTCAATTAAAAAAAAGTACAAAGCATTTATTTAAATAAATTATATCTATAAAAATAACGTATAAACAGAATATATATATATATATATATATATATATATATATAAAATAGACATTTATAATTACCATTACAATAACTTATTTCATTTCAAAATCCTTTTATAGGATTTCGGATCATCGAGTAACACTCCCAACAATGAAAAAAGATTTTTTTTTCATTGTTGGAAGTGTTACCTGATGATCCGAAAACTTTTAAAAAGGATTTTGGTGAAATAAATTATTGTAATGGTTCCTTAAATTGTCTGTTTTTCATTAAATATTAGCTCTGTTCTTCACATTGAGCTCTCAGGATTTCATCCTCCTTGGATTTACCAATTCGGTTTACCAAATTTTCATAACTTAATTAATTAATTATATATATATATATATATATATATATATATATATATATATATATATATATATATATACACGCACACATAGATAGATAGATAGATAGATAGATAGATAGATAGATAGATAGATAGATAGATATTCAAATATATCTATATCTCTATCTATCTCTCTAGTAAAATTATTCAGATACATATCCCATAGTAAAATTATTCAATTTTACTATGGTATATATATCTGAATAATTTTACTATAGAATTTTGTTTGAAAGTCAATGTGAAAAATATTATCACTAATCAGGAAGTAAAGCAATTATTTCAAACATAATTGGACTATCATATCTATAATGTAAATGCATTGTCAGTATCTTTTTTACATAAAAGCTGCACACCATTTTACTACAGAAATACATTATAAGTGATTTTACAATAGAAATGTATTTAAAATCAGGAGAATTAGACTGTCATAACTCAAGTCTTAAGCTAAGTTTTCTGACAGAATACGTCTATTTTAGTTTAATGTTATTTAGCAATAATTATAATTTCAGTGTTTTGTACAATGATTTTCATCCTGTACAAGGCCCAAGAGTCATTCAAGGTAGAGAGTTAACGCGTAGACGATTCGGTTCATGGACATATGTAGGGAAAGTAATAGTTGACTCTAGACTTGAAGGGGTAGATATTAGTGATCTTGGAAGCATCCTCTTGGGAGTCGGTTTCACAAAGCAGAAAGTTCTTTTGTTTAAATAATATTTATGGAAAATGCAAAGATATCTTATTTTTATTAGCAGGATTATTGATCTCTCGTCTTCATTGTTAAGAACCCCCATTCGTTAGAATAATGTTAAAAAATGGTTTAGAAATGTTTGAATCGAACGTTGTTTTGCAGAAGACGAGAAAGATAGAACGGAAAATCCCCTCATAGTGAGAGGGCAAAAATTCTAGAGAAAAGAGATGAAGGCGAGGAAAATTTGGAATCTAAAGAATAAATTTATGGACATGATGAAAATGAGAGTGACGAAAAGATGTAGTCGATAGCAGAGGATTAAATGTGTCTCGTAATGGCGTCACCAATATTACCCAAATCGGTTCGCTAGTCATATTCTAATTGTATGCCACCTTTGACCATCGGTAGATTACTCAATGCTCCAGCCGGTCGGTTGAGTCACGGCAAAGACGTCACATCGTCTTCATGCATGATTGAAACACAATGGGCGCGCCGGAATACAGATCGGGCGATGCGAACTTGGGCGACACTCAAACTCATTCGACGGGGCCGAATTGCCGTAAGAAAGATGACATATAATACCAACAGACAGGGGTCCGCATGGCCTGATGACTCTCGACAACCTTCTATAGTTCACATTGGGGAGTAATAAGTCACGTGGTGGTTCATTGATATTGAAATATAACTACTATGAAGCGAATCAGAAATAGATAGGTATATATTTATACGTGTGTATTACAGGTTTTACAAGTATATAAATGTACAATGTGTTTGAGAAGAGCTCATGCCTATCTTTGAACCTTGAAAAAACGGTAAAATTTAACACACGTATCCGAAAACGTCACTATATCAGAAGGACGTTTTTTATCTTGACACCGCTATAACTGTATAGCGGTATTCTTTGTAATGTTTTAAAAAACTATTTTTAGAATGTTAACAAAAACTCAAACATATAATACTGGATGGATGTATTCTCTTTTTTATCTTAAGAATTGAAAACAAAAGAATTAAACACTATTTCTGTTTATATGTCTGGAATGAGTTATTCAAACTATTTACATTGTACGAACTATTGTCCTCAACTTTATTTTCATAGTCTGTCTATATTTCTGAGATGAGGCATTATGTACATTATTTACATTATTCGGACTATTGTCTTCATCTTTGTCGCCATTTTTATTACAATGTTTCGGCCGTTGTACGCTCCGGCCTTCTTCAGGTGGTTGGACTGAACCTTTTATTTCGCTCACTGGGGTGGACTGTTCTAGTTCCACGTGCCATGTTTGATGGATGTCAGTTATCAGTTATCTCCTGTTAATTTCCCGCTGAAAGTATTTCACTGCTTTAGCCGGGTATTGAACTCACACTCTTTGGGTCCTGTCACTGGATCTAACCAACGCCTTTATCCACTGTGACATGTGTCCTTGAGGACATCTGCGTATGAATTTCTGGGTATTATTAGGTTTATTTTCATATTCATAATGTTTTGGCCGTTGTACGCTCTGACTTTCTTCAGGTGATAGACGTCGGAATTTCGAATCGAACCCTTTATATCGTGCATCGGGGTAGATTGTTATAGTTCCACGTGCCATTCTTTTTTGGATATTCCAGTTTCGTTAATTCCTTTTAGTAATTCAACTCTCCAAATCCTTGGAGAAACTTGGACCAGTCGATAAAAGCATTACCTGAAGTAATGCAATGACCAAAGAGTTCCGACTTCAATACCTGGCTGCAGCAGAAAAGAACTTGGAAAGTTGAGTTATTCAACGTATATATATATATATATATATATATATATAGAACTTGGAAAGTTGAGTTATTCCAACGTGTATATATATATATATATATATATATATATATATATATATATATATATATATATATATAATTATCTCATTCTCTGATGAAGCTTTAATAACAGAGAGGAAGATAAACTTAGATAGATGTGTGTATATTTCTGAGATGAGGTATTTTAACTATTTACATTGTTCGGACTATTATCCTCATCTCTATTGTCACATTCACGATGTTTCGGCCGTTGTACGCTCTGACCATCTTCAGGTGATATCCATTGGAATTTCGAATTGAACTCTTTATTTAGTCCACGGGGATAGATTTTTGTTATACCACGTACCATGCATTTTTTTTATATCTCAGTATCAGTTAAATCCCTTTAGTTACTCAACTCTCTAAGTTTTTGTTCACTCTGCTGCGACTCGGTATTTTATTAGAATATTTATTTAAAAGAATATTTTTATAATTCCAGATTTATAAAACGCGTGAACCAACTACAATCAAATATTTATATATATATATATATATATATATATATATATATATATATATATATATATATATATAAACTACACGTTTATTTATAAAATTATAAAAATCTCTGTGAAAAAAAGAGAATAAGAAAATTTACAAAAACATATAAAAATATGTAATTGTAATGATAAATTTTGAAAATTCATTTTTGTGCATTTCTTTAAATTACTCTTATCATATAAATTCACTAAAATAGAACATCTGGATTTACACATTTTTTCTCGAGAACTGACAACAAAAATGTTAAACACAATCTTTAATCACAAGAATTTTGTTATCAAATCTCGAGAAAAAAGAGAACGCATCAATACAGTTTCATATGTTAGGGTTTTATTATTAGGGTATAAATAGGAAAAAATACCTTTTGACACAACCCTTTTTTTTGGGGCTTGTTTTTAGCATGTACGAATGTAAAACTTTTCGAAAAATCCTTATTCATATTTTGATTTATAACTGAAGAAGATTGACAGGAATTTCAAACTAACCAATTAAACTACAATTTCAACAACCAAGAAAAACTTGGGGGCTTCAACGTTGTGTCATAGTTAATGAAATATTCAGGTTGGTTGTAATGTAGTGATGTGGCGGTGATTAAATTCTAGCACGAGATTTGAATTTTTGTATTTTATTCAACTCCTGTCATCGTTAATTCCCATCGGCCAGTGTTTTTGTGCAAAGACACACGGAGACCTGGTCCGATACATGAAACCTGTATTCACAACCTATGTTCATATTTTTTCAAATTTGAAATAGTTTTGTACTTATAGACTGTGAAAAAAAATATCACTCCGTACTTTCAATAGTTCCTTTCAATAATTTTCAATAATGCTTAATTTAATCAAATATAACATAACACAGAATTGTACTTCGTTACCAGAAGAGCCGGCTGCATAGGGATGAATGACAAGGTTACAGTGGAGATGAGAAAATTCACAAGATAGAAGAGAAGAAGATAGAGATAGATGGAGATAGATAGATGATGATGGGGAAAATTGAATATATTAACAAAGATAGATAGATAGATAGATAGATAGATAGATAGATAGATAGATAGATAGATAGATAGATAGATATGAACAAACTGTGACATATATTAACAAACTGTGATAGATGTATAATGAACAAACTGATAGATAGAGATAGATAGATAGATAGATAGATAGATAGATAGATAGATATGACAAATTAACATATATTAACAAACTGATAGATAGATGATATAATGAACAAACTGTGACAGATAGATATAGATATAGATAGATAGATAGATAATGAACAAAGATAGATGAGATAGAACAAACTGTGATAGACATATATTAACAAACTGTGATAGATGTATAATGAACAAAAACAGATAGATAGATAGATAGATAGATAGATAGATAGATAGAGATAGATAGATAGATAGAACAAATAGATATATTAACAAACTGTGATAGATATATTACGGACAAACTGATAGATAGATAGATAGATAGATAGAATGAACAAAACATATATTGTGATAGAGATAACAAATAGATAGATAGATAGATATGAACATATGAAAACTGTGACATATATTAACAAACTGTGATAGATGTATAATGAACAAACTGTGACAGATAGATAGATAGATAGATAGATAGATAGATAGATAGATGATAGAAAGAAGATGACATATATTAACAAACTGTGACATATATGAACAAACAGTGATAGATGTATAATGAACAAACTGTGACAGATAGATAGATAGATAGATAGATAGATAGATAGATATGAACAAACTGTGACATATATTAACAAACTGTGATAGATGTATAATGAACAAACTGTGACAGATAGATAGATAGATAGATAGATAGATAGATAGATAGATAGATAGAACAAAGATATGAACAAAATAATGAACAAACTGTGACAGATATATTAATAAAGATAGATGATAGATGTATAATGAACAAACTGTGACAGATATATAGATAGATAGATGTATAAGACTGTGACAGATAGATAGATAGATAGATAGATAGATATGACAAACTGTGACATATATTATTAACAACATATATTAACAAACTGTGATAGATAGATATAATGAACAAACTGTGACAGATAACAAGATAGATAGATAGATATGAACAAATAGATAGATATATAGATAGATAGATAACAAACTGTGATAGATATATAATGAACAAATAGATAGATAGATAGATAGATAGATAGAACATGCGCAAGATAGATGAACAAACTGTGATAGATAGATAGATAGATAGATAGATAGATATGACAAACTGTGACATATATTAACAAACTGTGATAGATATATAATGAACAAACAAATAGATAGATAGATAGATAGATAGATAGATAGATAGATAGATAGATAGATATAGATACAAATAGATAGATAGATAGATAGAGATAACAAACTGTGACATATATTAACAAACTGTGATAGATGTATAATGAACAAACTGTGACAGATAGATAGATAGATAGAGATAGATAGATAGATAGAGATAGAGATATGAACAAACTGTGACATATATTAACAAACTGTGACGGATAGATAGAGATAGATAGATAATAGATAGAAGACAAACTGTGACAGATATAATAGATAGATAGATAGATAGATAGATAGATAGATAGATAGATAGATAGATAGATAGATAGATGATGATAACAAACTGATGAACATATATATTAACAAACTGTGATAGATGTATAATGAACAAACTGTGACAGATAGATAGATAGATAGATAGATAGATAGATAGATAGATAGATAGATAGATAGATAGATAGATATGAACAAACTGTGACATATATTAACAAACTGTGATAGATGTATAATAAATGTGACAGATAATGATAGACAAACTGTGACAGATATAACAAATGATAGATAGATAGATAGATAGATAGATAGATAGATAGATAGATAGATAGATAGATATGACAAACTGTGACATATATTAACAAACTGTGATAGATGTATAATGAACAAACTGTGACAGATAGATAGATAGATAGATAGATAGATAGATAGATAGATAGATAGATATGAACAAATAGATAGAACAAACTGTGATAGATATATGAACAAACTGTGATAGATAGATAGAAATAGATATAGATAGATAGATAGATATGACAAACTGTGACATATATTAACAAATATATTAACAAACTGATAGATAGAGATAGATATAATGAACAAACTGTGACAGATAGATAGATAGATAGATAGATAGATAGATAGATAGATAGATAGAGATAGATAGATAGATAGATAGATAGATAGATATGAACAAACTGGGACATATATTAACAAACTGTGATAGATGTATAATGAACAAATGAATAAAGATGATGATAGATAGATAGATAGATAGATAGATAGATAGATAGATAGATAGATAGATAGAACAAACTGGGACATATATTAACAAAGATAGATATGGACAAACTGTGACAGATAGATAGATATATGAACAAAGATGATGATAGATAAATAGATATGGACAAACTGTAATATATATGAACAAACTGTGATAGATAAATAGATAGATATGAACAAACTCTTACAGATATGAACAAACTGTGATAGATAGATAGATACATTTTTGCCCATCTCGTAAGCTATATACTAAATATTCTAATGCAAGAAACGTATAATATAGAGAATGGCTAACTGAAGACGTCTGAAGAAAGTAAGATAAATAAATGTCTTTTCTAGAAAGAGAAACGAAATTAGAAACAAAGTAGTTGGAAGTAATTAAAATCGTAGTATAAAAACAAAATTACAATGGTATACAGAACCTAAAAATTCTCGAAAATCGAAATATAAAATTAGAATATAAAGTATGAAAATATAAAAATAATAAAAATAATATGCTTCATTTCTCGGCAATCTCTGTAATTATTTTCACATACGATCACTAAATAGAATGAAATAAGTCGTACTATCGGTGCAGAGCTATCACATAAAGATTATAAGAATATATTCTTTTAGGATATTAATTTTACATATCACGAATCACCGCTCTGTTGAACTGACTCCCGAAGGGACGCTTCCCTGATCTTTATAATCTTAACATGTTCAAGTCTAGGGCTAAATTTACCACATAGCCCAAAACGACTGACTCTTACTCTGCAACCCTTTACCTCGAGTGTTTCTCGAATAGGGTCCTCACCAGTGTAAAAAAAAAAAAAGATAAAAAATAAAAGCCTTATTTGTCTGTCTGTAATTCTATTTTTATTTGCTTTTCAAGTTTACAGAACAAATGAAATCAAAATGTTGCAAAATTCGGTGTTTAATCATTGATTTTTTTACCTTCAAAATAATTAAAAGTTTTATTGTAGAACATACGAACATGAAGAAGTAGGAGTAAAATCATTGGGTAACAATAAGAATAGCCGAAAGTATAAGTCAGATTAAAATGTCATTGACGCTACAAGAATAATTATTTGCTCGCGTTTCTTTCACCTATCAACAGTTATTTGCTGTGTGATGTAATCATTAGAGCTAATGAAAGGTTTCACATATTTGTTTCGTAAATCCTACCATTGATATGGAATCTATCTATAGATATAAAAAGTAAAACAAAACTTGTATGTGTACTTACGATCAAATTTCACTTTTCGAAGATTTTCAGGCAATGAGTAAAGAGCATAGTTCAACCAGTCGTCAAGTTGTCGGGCAAATTTTCGGATCACTTGGGTCAAACTTTAGAAAAAAGAAAGGAAAGAATGAGGTAGGCCGGATCAGTTGATTTTAACGACATTTTAAGCCATGCTTGATAATTCAATGTCTAATATTCTTTTTATTCATAACTAGCAGTCAACCCAACTGGTCGATCAAAAAAAGCGTTCAATCAGAATGGAGCAAAAACAGCATCATGTTAAGATGTAACAGGGTCTATCTTATTCAATTACTTTAAAGTACTTTCATTAAAAAAAACATTTTGCATTACTGCAGTTACTTATATAACAGAAATAGTCTGTATTTATTCAATCGAAGTTATCCGAGGACATGAAGGTGTAAAACAGGCAACATGTAGATCCACTTCAGACCACAATTATTTTGGAGATTTTGAAATTCAATTTGTCAGTGTGCTACCAGGGATGTAAAAGAGGATACATTTATAAAGCAATTGTTAAATTTGATGAAAATTGATTGAAAGATCAAAGAAAAATAAGAAAGAAACAGTAAAAATCACCATTTTTTGTTATTTGCGCGGGGTTTCACTATATAGGTGGACTTAATTATCAAGTTAAATGACTGTTAAAAAATCAACTTATTGTTGGCTACACAATCACACATACACACTGATTAAATATTATAGATATAGCTTACCTTTCGGGCAAAGCCTGAAGAACTGAGGGCATGAGGACATTAGCAATGGCTTTATAGAGAATGGAATCGCAGACTCCGACGAGAGTGACTATAGCGTTGGTACCAAGCAGTGGTGTCATGTGTTGGGGCATTCCTTGCCAAAAATGCACTAAGAAATTCTGAATCTGAAAATGACGAAAAGAAGAAAAGAAAATGAAATACATATTCAGATTATAAACGTGATATGTCCCGGAAAGGGATATATTTGAACGAAGTAGCTAAGTGGTTTTTGCTACTATAACCAAATAGAATACGGTAGCAGTAATCGACTGGTACGCGTCGTAGTCGCAGGTAAGAAGTGTAGATCCATGGCGTCGTCCAATGGGCGTCGTTATAGACTTAGCTCTCGACTCTTGACTCTCCTACACGTCCGTCGGTATTTATGACGGACACCAGCCAATCATATTCCAGTGAGGGGGAACACAGGTGTATGCATATTTCATTATATCAAAATGAAAAATGAAGAAATAGAAAAAAATCAGAATAATATTGTATATTTCTTTTAAAATTCGGTGTACGGCAGCGAATTTTGAACGATTTCTTCAAGGACGAGGAAGAGACTCGAGGCGACGGAGATGGGATTCTACAGAAGAATGCTAAGGATACCATGGACCTAGCGTGTGAGCAACGATGAGGTCTTAGATAGGTTACAAACAAGGAGAGGGCTTATACTTATCAGAAGGAGGCAGCTGAAATTTCTGAGACGCATAATGAGGAAGGAGAGCCTGGAGAATCTGATACTCACGGGTCAAATAGAGGGAATGAGAGACAAGGGAAAGCAGCGCGTGACATACCTGAAGAGTTTGAGCAAGTGGATGATAGAACGTGGTCTGGGGGAGGAAGCAGAAGGAAGAAAAGCTACAAGATTAATTATTTAGAAAGATTGATAAATATATCCTAAGTAAAGTAGAGGGAGGTGGAGAGCCATGATCGCCTACGCCCTGAAAGGACATGGCTCATAAAAAGTAAAAGAAAGAGTTTGAACAGTGCGCGCGAACAGATGCACTATGGACATCTACTGCTTCCTTTGTTACTTAATGTCTAAACATATCAAAGAATTTTTTCGAGGAAGACGGTGAAAACTATAAGTTAACTTAAAATTATTTTTACCTTCTGGCCCAGTTTCCATTCCTTTTGGGTATCACCTCGTGTATGTGCGTGTGTATTTGTGTGTGTGTATTTGTGTGTGTGTATTTGTGTGTGTGTGTGTGTGTGTGAAATTGATTGGCTTTGTGTATTAGTTAAGAATGCTGATGTCTGGAAATGTCTACAGAAGCCTCCAACCTGTTTTCACGTGTTTGTCTGGCAGGAATTGAGATTTGTAAATAATATATCTTCCCATTTTTAACCAGTCTTATTAAATAAAATGAAAAATATTTATACCAATGAACAAAAAAAAAATGAAGTGATTTTTAAAAAATCAGAGATACAGAAACGTCAAGAATATTATCGATAAATTTACATACATAAGAATATAAATATACATATGCACACACAAAAACACGTATATATATACACATATACACATACACACACATATATACACAAACATACACACATATGTATATGCATGTATATATATACACATAGACACACACAAACACACACACACACACACACACATATATATATATATATATATATATATATATATATATATATATATATATATATATATACAGTAAATCTTGATGTAACATCCCTCGATTTAAAGAATATCGGATTTAAGGAACCACATATGAAACACATGGGCCATAACGAATGAATGAAAAAACAGACGCTAGTTAACAATGGGTTTCCTAACTACCTCATCGACCACCAGATTAGAATATTTCTTTCCAAAGCAAATAATAACGACACTGAACACACAGACAAAAATAACATAAATATCTTCTACAAAAGCCAAATGCGCGTCAACTTTAAACAAGATGAATCTTCACTTATAAATATCATAAAGAAATACACTACCCCAGTTGATTTGAACAAAAAAATTAAATTATCTATTACAAATAAATTAAAACAGCTAAACTTATCCTTAAAAATAACAACAGACCTGCAAAATTAAGACCACAAAGAAAGAACATTATTTACGAGTTAAAATGCCCCTTAAGGAACTGTGTTCCTGATCAAAACAAACTCGTAAATAATTACATCGGTCACACAACTACATGCCTATCCAGACGACTTACGTTACACCTATCCGACTATAACTCAATCAGAACTCATTTAAACACACATACAAACCTACCAGACTCCATTAGAAACATACTAGTATAAAATTCAAGCATAATAACCTCATCCACATGTAAAATAGATTCAAAATAATGGAAGCCTTGATAATAAAAAAGAAAAAGCCAACTACACTAATATTAACTACGAACACGGTCACAATGTACTGACTGTGTTCGGAAAATACAACATATTTATAACTCTAGATACATACACACAACCCATACATCCAGTTAAAAAGTAAAACTAAAAACATCCACGATAATTACTAAAAGTATAGTCGAACGCGTTCTGAATTACAGAAAATTTGGAAAGTTTCTACACTCTCTGTGTCCAGAAAAGAAAACACTTGTTTGAACACAAAGAAAATTAAATAGAAAGCTTAATCGCAGTGCCTTGTCTGTCGTCTTTAATGAAACACATACACAAACACACCACCCACACTATATATATATATATATATATATATATATATATATATATATATATATATATATATATTCAACAAGAAATAAAATAGTTGTATCTAATGATTTTGTTATTATTAACAAAGGCGGTGATGATCTTGTCAATTGAAATAAAATTCTATTACAGCTGAATGTGACATTACTTTCCGTACAACAAAAAAATAAGCGTATATATATATATATATATATATATATATATATATATATATATTATTCTGTACTTAGGCAGTAAAGGCACTTTAAGAGGTAAATACTATTAAAAGCGATAAATGATTTATGTCGATTAATTATAATGCCGTCTTTTTCATATTACAAATATTTCTTCTCAAACGAGGAGGAAATTCCACCAAGAATTGTTCAGTCTATTTACAAAGAAAAAAGTCAAACTAACACGGTTCAAGCTTTCTAAGAAAGTCAAAAGCTTCGACTATATTACTTTTAGAAAAGAATTATTTATTTCAGAAAGCTTATTCCTAAACTGGAAATGACAATCATTAAAATTAATCGACATAAATTGTCTCTCGTTTTAT